GTTGAAGCTCTCAACTTGTCGAGTAGGTTACTTAAAACCCGTATCTTTTCTGATCTCTACTCGACGAGTTTGGGGCTCCCCACTCGTCAAGTTGCTCTACAAAAATGAATATAAATTATAATTTAAATGTGTACCAGGAACCAGACGTTACAATATAAATATTACATAAAACATGTATTGCTAGTAATTCTCGCAGAATGCATACCACATGGTTAGATTCTTTAGATTCTCTTTCAGGCATTTCAACAAACACTTGTTAGGCATTATCATAATACATTCTATAATACCAAAATACACTTTTGCAATTTGAAATTTGGAATTTGCAAAACATGAAATTGTGTAGGGAAATTACTAATATGCAACTTGCAAAACACTAAACTTTTATGATATCTATAAAACCATTTATTATTAACAAAGTAAAACAACAGTAATCGGACCAATTGCTCTTGATTCCTTCAAAGCACATTATTTTTCATAAATCTTCAATTTATACTTTTTTTTGTAGTTTGTATCCAATAGGTCTTGATTCTAAAGTTTATTATTTACAAAAAGTCATGGACATTACTCAACATCCATTAAAATAATATATATATATATATATATATATATATATATATATATATATAGATATATATATAATATATATATATATATAATTAGAATATGCTTTTGAAAGATAGAATGAAAATCAACAAAACTTACTTAATGTCAACTTTTGAAAATAATATCCACACGATGTCAACTTTTATTCATGAATCATCTTGCGTCCCTTGTTTTTTACGTCAATCCATGGACAACCGACATCTTATCCTTTTAGCTATTTCAAGAAAACACAATGAAGAAGAGTATATGAAAAAGAGTATAAAACCCTAATTTGCAGCAAGGGACAATCTATATCAATTCGGAATTCAGGGATATAAGACGGAGACGATGGTGTATTTGATGAAGAAGACGATAATGGATGTTTGTGGGGTGAAAAACTGACGTATGTTGATGGTGATGAGGGTTCGGTGTTTTGTAGGGTTGAGAAACTAATTCCCCTAATTTAAAGGATATTAAATGTTTTAAATATTTACCATAATTAAATGTAGTCAAGATTACTATTATACCATTTTTATTATTTATTATTGAATTTTTTTTTTAATTATTATTGGTTGTTAGAGGCACACAATACTTGTTGGAAACATTTGAACCTCTCTCTCTCTTTCTCTCTCTCTCTCTCTCTATATATATATATTATATATATATATATATAATTATATATATCTATATATATATATATTGAAAGAATAACTATAGTAGATTAACATAATAAGAATTAATTTTTTACCTGAGTTTCTTGAGTTGGAGCTCAATTCTCCATGACTAGACAAAGAAGGAGTTCACGAATCCTTAGAGACAATAGGAATGGTCGATATTTGAAAGTCTGAAACAAGAGGAGGATCGACAGAAGTGATTTCGAGTTTGTAAATAGTTGAGAAGATTGATCGATTTTGAAACGGCGACAACACGTGTAGGGATTTTTTTTTTCTATTATGAACGACGAGGACAGAAGTGTGAATCGTGATTTCGATTTCTGTTGAACAGAGAAATTGGACGAGAAATGCTTATTCGGTTCGGGTATTTAGAACCGAGTAAGCTCTTATTTGGGTAACCCGGACTGAATAACCCAAGAACATAATAAGCATAATATAGATACCCGAAAACCGAATCGAATTTTGCTTATTCGGGCCTTATTCAGTCCGGTTCGGTTCGATTCGAATTTCTGGGTCAAATTCTCATCCCTACAATTGAGTATTGGTGGAGGTTATATATAGACCATCTTTTTTTTTATCATGAAATGATCATCTTTCTTGTGAAAAAAAACTTGTCATTTGCGGGCTTACCTTTTTCAACACAAAAACATTTTTATGACTAAAATTTCATGTATATAATATTTTTTTTGGATGTAGCACTTTTTTCGAAGGAAGAATGAATTTTTCTGTAAATTTTTCGCATTCATATATACCAAAAATGGTTGTCTAAAATATTTAGTTAGATCCAGGTTAAATCTATGGGCTAGCAAAGGCCCATATTAGATCATCGTTTTTTTAAACGGCAAATCAAACTACTCCTATTACCATTTATGTCTCATATGAGACTTGAACTCTCAACTTCAATGAGGGAGTACAACACTGATACCGCTAGAAACCCTTTGGTAAATCGTCGTCTCTTGGCAATACATTCATGTGCGCTTTAACAAACTCCAAAATAATAACGTTCGTGAGAGATGCAAAACATTCGTGTTCCCCTTCCACTGATGCATCCATCTTCCTACGAATCAGGTTAAGGGGTATCACGACAACGTCCTCACTAGTGAAGAGCATGCCACATCATCAAGGTAGTCACTCCACAACATGTTTACTAGCCTTGGAGGCGGTGTTCGAAAGTCAACATGTAGTGAATGAGAGAGAGAGAGAGAGAGAGAGAGAGAGAGAGAGAAAGAGAGAGAGAGAAAGAGAGAAAGAAAAAAAGAGAGAAAGAGAGAGGGAGAGAGAGAAAAAAAGATAGAGAGAGGAAGAGAAAGAAAAAGAGAAGGATAAAGAGAGAGAGAGAGAGAGAGAGAGAGAGAGAGAGAGAATAAAGAAAGAAGGAAGAGAGAGATAGACACAATCAACTCCCATACACCTCCATGAACATCCGTGAAGAGCGTCACTCCAAAACACAATTATTATGCTTTGGGGTGGTGTTCACTAGTAAAAATCTCCTCTACATAGGATTCTTACTAGTGAAAATGCCCTAATACCCCTTAGCCTCACAAGACATTTATGTGTGATGGGTTCTACGCAAATTGCCTTCCTCCATCTATAGACATTGTGTCTACCCTAGTAGCTGACGCTCTTGAACGACTATCGTCGGTGATAAAAATCTTATTACTTTTTGGTGTATTCATTGCCTTATCAATAGGGGTGGGTTGAGGATTAACAGTAACACCATGGTCGATGATGACCTATGTCTGACAACTGCAAAAATTGTTACCAATCGTTAACCACAAATGTAACGAACATCAAAGAGAATAGATTAAATATATAATATTTGTCAATCTATGATTAAATTACAAGAGTTTGTATTCCATTGTAGAAGAAAAATCAGCCAAATTGCTCGAATACTATAAAAATAAGTGCGCAAAAAGTTGTTTTGTTTTCCATAAATAATAACATATTCTGAAAGTACGTCTCCCTGATTCCGAAAATATAAATTTCATAAAAATATGACTTTATATGGAGGAGATATGATTTTTCTAAGTTACTAATTCAGCCATCTCACTCGTTGTACGATGATAACTAAGATGCAACATAAAGTTTAATTCAGCCCTATGACGAGAGAAGCGACGTAATTAGCAAAAATGAGATTGGTTGAGTTTTAGCCTAAACACCCAAAAAGAGAATCGTAGTATTCCTCGATATAAGACGATGGTCATATGAAACACCACAAACGGAGTCCGTATGAGGAAGTTATGTTTTTTTATAAAATCATTTAGGATACCCTCATCATAAAAATATGTGCTAAACATAAAGTCAAAATTAGCGCGTGCAACCTAAAAGAAAGTTGTAGTACTCGTCGATAACTATGTCTAGATATAAAGAACGTCGAAAACGGAGTTCGTATGCGAGAGATACGAATTTTATAAAATTTGCATTCTCCGCACGCATCACGCACGGGAAAGCGCGGTGCACATAATGTTCTAGAAGGTATAAATGCGGACCACCATATAACGAATATATGGCTGTGCTTTTCTGGAGCCAGCACCCGAAGGCGCGGCGCGCCTCCCTGCAGCAGCCTATAAATTGTTTTCGAATTTAGCTATTTTTCAATACAAAACCTCTTTCACCTCCTCTTGAGTTTGTGCGATTTTTACCTCTTTTAAGCCAAGAAAGTCTCGGGTATATAGGCAGGAGCTATCGTGGTATAAAGAACGCTTTAGGGGTGAGTTTATGACCCCTTTTTCAAAGATTTTTCTCAATTTTAAGGATCGGGGAGGGTAAATACAAGTTAATTTATTATTAATTTATCGTAAAAACATATTTATATGTTACTATGTCCAATTTTTATAAAAAATATCTATATATTATGTCGTTATTTTTTGTCTGTTTCAAATGGAAAATATCTATATATTAAGTCGTTATTCTGTCTGTTTCAATTGGAAAATACCTATATATAAAGTCGTTATTGTGCTCATTTCAATTGGATAATATTTATATATATTATGTTGTTACTTGTTGTTTTAATCTAGAATATATTATATTATATATATATATATATATATATATATATATATATATATATATATATATATATATATATATATTATGCTGTTATTCTTCCTATGTTTCAATTGGATAATATCTATATATTATGTCGTTATTCTGTCCGTTTTAATTGGATAATATTCATGGTAAAACTCCAATAAAGTCCCTATGTATTGCCCTTATAATCGATTTAGTCCCTACAATTTATTTATTTATTTATTTATTTATTTGTAAATTAGTCCTAATTACTGGTAAACGTAATCAAAACGGGATATTTATTGGGTTAGCAAGTATCTAACTGATGTGGCAGCTTACTTCCTGTTAAATAACATCCTACGTGCCATTTAAGAGGGATAAATTTGTGAATCGGGCTCCTCTTCATTCGACAGTCAAAGGAGCGGGCGATTAAGGCAAATTGGAAACAGGAAATTGATGTCGAGTTCGTCAACCAATAATATCAGAATGTGCTATTGTGGAGATAGGGCTAGAATGTGGACATCATGGACTCGAAAGAATCCAGATCGGAGGTTTTTTGGTTGCCCAAATTACATGGTATAGAATCTTCAAATCTCACTCAGATTCTTCTATTCCACTAAAATTCTTCTATGTTAAAAACATGCATCTTTCTATGTTATGTAGGATTAAGAGAAGGACTGTGGGTATTGTCGTTGGATTGACCCACCACTATTGAATAAGTGGTATAAAGAAATAATGTATGAATTAGGTGTTGTTGCTAATGGGGGTGGAGTTGTTCCTTTCAATAACCCTGTTAATGAAGTTGAAATACCTGTTGATGGCCCTATTGCCCCTGTGAATGCCCTTGAACCTGATAATCAAATTGCAATGCTTGAGAATACACATGTGCCTGCTAATGAACTTGGATTATGGAAGTGGATGATGGTTTGTTTCATTGTAGGGATGATGTATGGGTAGTTTAGTGTAAGTTGTACGGTATTATGGTATGGTAGGGATGATGTAATCTTTTGGTTTGTTATCATGATGTAATGGATATATGTTCTTATGGATCATGTAATGTTTTGGTTAATGAAATTGGAATATGTTATTATGATTTGCATACATGGTGTACACTTGACAAATATAACCACGAAATATGCACACTTGTCAACTATAATACTTAAACAACAAACTCCAATATGTCATTACCAACCATGTTAAGGGCATTCACAATGTTTCAATGTGTTTACAAAAGATGTACAAAATATGGCTATCGGTAATTTAAGGGCATTCACAAAAGATGTATAAAAGTAGCATTCACAAAAGATGTACAAAAGTATCATTCACAAAAGATGTATAAAAATACCCTTAATACCCTTAACACCCTAATCCAACTCCAATGCTGAATTTGCAGAAGTACCAACACATCCCATCTTCTTCAGCTTGGTTTTGACAATCTTCTCAGAGGGCCTTCTTATTTTCACAATCCTAAGGTGTACTGGTAATTCCTGGGTGTCATTAATGCCTTCTTCTTCTTCTTCTTCTTCTTCTTTTCTTCTTCTTCTTCTTCTTCGCTTTCTGGTTTTGTCTCAGGGATAATTTCTTCAGCACCATCTTGTGTCTCAGTCTGAGGTGGATCCTCCTCTTCCTGTAAAATATCAGGCAATTAATAACATAAATGAATGTTAACATTAAGGTAACATAGAGGGTTTACCATAAACATAGGAAGAACTTGTTCAATAGTGTCATTATAATCATTGAGCTGTTTCATGTGTGAATCTGTCAGACTAAGGGTATTTTTTAATTTCTTCAATTGATTATTGTGATACTTTCAAATCTTGCATTGCCTTCCATAGATGGACTAAATATTTTTCAGGAATAGTGTCATCCTCATTTTCAACCTCAGCCACTCCACCACCTTCAACCTCAGCCACTCCAGCAGATGTCTTACCACCCCTACCACCACTAGTACCACCTCTTTTACTACCTTTACCACCTCTGTTACCCACTGCACCACCTCTGTTACCCACTGCACCAGCTGTCTTACCCACTGCACCACCTCTCTTACTCCCTATACCACCTCTACTACCCCTTGCACCACCTCTACTACTTCTAACACCACCTCTAGTCCAATGCCTGATATCAGGATCCAATCTTGGTCTACCCATTTTTTTTCTTGGGTTTGGGTTCTGGTGTGACCTTAGGATTCTTATAGGATGCCTTGTTGTGACCCCTTTGAAGACAGTTTTTGCATTGGAATGTCCTTCCTATTCCTGTAACCTTCATGTTATTTTGGGAGTATTTGTCTTGAGATTCAATGAATAATATTGCAGACTTTGCATGTACATTAAACCACTCACTTATGAATTGAACATGGTCTTATCCAGTGAATAATATTTCAGACTTTGCATGTACACATGGAATTCCTGAGATATCCCAAAGCCTACAGCTGCACACTTTCCTTTGTAAGTCAACCACATACCCTTCAAATCCATTCCTAACTTCAAAAATATATGGTCCACTTGTATTCACATTCCAATTCCTACAATTACATTAATAAATGAAATCAGAACAATAAAATTAGAAGAATGATGATAAGGAACAAATCATAAAAAATGCTAAGACAAACCTCAAATCCACTCTAAACTTGTTCATTTTCTTGATAGCAGCTGGACAAACCATTGATTCCTACTTTTCTGCCTTTTGTAACATATGGTAGAACCTATCCATCATGTACAACCTAATTTCTTCAAACAATGCTAGAAGGTGTTTCTTTCAAGCATCCAATATGATGGCGTTGAAGCATTCTGCAATGCCATTTTCAACTGCCTCACATGCTACCTCAGTCCTAAAAATGCCCTGCACGATGTGTGAGGATCTCTTGCAAGCAAATGTTCATAAGCACTGGGATTGACCTCTTTGATATCATCCATTTTCCTCATAAATTCACTCTCTACAGTTGAAAAGGAAGCTGCCCAGAACATATTATTGAACTCCGCGCCAGTATAGGTCTTCCTAAAGTTAGCATATATGTGTCTTGCACATTGTCTATGCTCCACATTTGGTAGTACTTCCTTTGTTTCTTCAAGCAATCCCTGCAATGTAATAAAAACAAATACATAAACATATAAGATGATGATAAGGAAAAATCATAAATATGCTAAGAAATTACAAACCTTATGTTGATCAGAAATTACAGTAAACCCTCCTCCATCTTGCAGGTTAAGATCCCCTGTGAGCAGTTCCAGAAACCATTTCCAATTAGCTTTATTTTCAATGTCAACAACTGCCCAAGCAATTGGATATACTTGGTTGTTTGCATCCCTCCCTATTGTTGTGAGTAATTATCCTTTACATGTCCCTTTAAAGAAAGATCCATCTAGACCAATTACCCCACGACACCCTATTGTCCAACCTTCCTTGATTGCTTTAAAACACACATACATCCTGTGAAAGTATGTTGTTTGATCTGGATTGACAGTGACACCCACTTGGACAGTGCTACCAGGATTTGATCTTAGTAACACATGACAATAATCCCACACCCTAGCATAATGGTCTGTGAGTTTACCATATATAATGCTCATTGCTCTACACCTTGTTCTGTAAGCGTTAGACCAAGACACCCCACAATGAAATTTGGTTCTAATTATTGATTGCATCTCCTTACACTTCAAGGTAGGTTTCATTATCAACTCCTTCAAAAAGTGACTTGCTAGGCATCTAAGACTCAGTAAATTTGAAATATTGAAATTTCTAACACATTTGTGCTCATCAACTAAGGTATTAATCTGAAAAGACCTTTCTTGAGTCATCCAAGAAGCATGAACTATGAATGGACAGGGCTGAGACTTCATCTTAGAACCACATTTGGCAATTAATCTCACAGTGTCACACTTCGCAAATTTAATGTTATACCCTGCCTTAATAACATAATTAGTGAGACATTGTTGCAACTGATGTGGTGATTCATACCTTTCACCAAGAAGGGGCTTCATCTTATTCCACTTAACTTATGGATCATGAATGGGGAAGCCTACACCACCCACATCTCCCAAATGAAGATCATTAGCCCCTGCAGTGTCATCGATTTCCTCTTCTGACCCAAACACTTCTTCATCTTCATCAGCAACGTCATTGTCTTCATCGGCTTCATTATCTTCATAATCAGAACTGAAGTTAAAGAAAGCATCATTGCATCTCTCTTTACTCTGTGTCTTGAAATCATATTCTTCCATTTCCACATCTATGTGCTCAGTATCTACCACCTCCCCATCATCGTCGTATTCTTCAGAGTCGTATTCTTTAGATGATTCATGGTGAACTTCCTCTGATTCGACAGCCATTAATAAAAACGGTCGGGTTCTACCTTCGTTTCTCTCAGTAAAACCCTACTTCCTTCGTGTTCACTCTGTAAAACCCTAACTTTTTCTCTCAATCGATTTACCCAAACGACGAACGAAGTGGAAATGGAAGGGTAAACCCTCATGTACACGTAAGGTGCCACATACGCATAGTATCGGTGGGATACCGGCTAACCCAATAAATATCCTGTTTTTTATGTTTACCAGTAATTAGGACTAAATTGCAAAAAAAAAAAAAAAAAAAAACTATAGGGACTAAATCGATTATACGGGCAATACATAGGGACTTTATTGGAGTTTTCCCTTAAATGTATATATCATTATCTCTAATCTAACACAAAGGGTAATCTCAACAGTATTATACTCCATGTATATTATATCTAGGTTTCTTAATCTAATACGGAGTTTCTTAATAAGTGTGTTATATCTTTTGTATTACTATAATTTTATTTTCTACTTATAATATAGAATTTTCTTATAACCATGTTCTATCTTATGTATTCTATTTCTATTTTTCTAGCAAGTGTCTTTTTAATATACATTTTATTAATTATAAAAAAAACACTCAATCTTTTTTTTTTTTGTTATTTTTCATATTTCAACTAACTTATTTACCAACTATTGCCAAACTTTATCTGGTTAACTAGTTTTTCAGCTAGTTTTCAAAACATAGTTTAAATATAGAGATAATAGATAAACATAGTTTAAATATAAAGATAATAGATGAAGGACTTTTGATGTAACAAAAACTTATCATCTTATAAAAAAGACATTTAAACTATTAGTTGTTAAAAAACAGCATTAACATAAAACTCTCTAAAATATTCCAATTATAATAAAAGGTATTTTGATGATCAAAACGTTCGAGTCTTATCAATAACTTCTTCATTGACAATATACAAGGGTAATTTGGTAAAATGACTTCTTCAAATGGCTCCAGTCAAATGAGCTATGAATAGAGGTCCTTGCATCATTGACTATTGGAAAAAAAGACACCGAGAAATAATGGATGAATACGGACTTGGTGTCTTATGACAATTCAGCTTTTTATTAAATATCATTAATATTTTAGGAATCGTATTGGGTGGTTGGGCAATCTTGATTTTGCATGGTTCACGTAAAACAAAAATTATATACCAAGTGTTGTGTAGACCGTAGAGCGGTGGATCAAGGATATTAACCTTTAGCTATATAAATATATAGAAAATTCAAGGATATTTACGTCATTTTAATCATCATAACAACTAAAGAGAATGAGAGCTAAAGGGGATTGTTTGATGCATTTTTTACTAGGTCTTGTTCGTACTCGGTTAGATTCAGACAGTTGATATAAGATTTTTACTCATAACTATTAAACAACCATAACTATATAAGTTGTATTTGATTTTTGTATTAGGGTTAACTTTTGAGTTTACATAAATATTATGGGCATTTATATTAACTAGTAAACACCTCCGCAGTACGTTGCAAGTTTGAAACAGTTTAGTATGTCGGAAACTGTAACAAGCAAGTTTTATGATCGATGATTTGTTTTTTTACTAATTATTGGTTGTTTTGTAAAATGTTGGGGCAAAAAGACAAAAAATTTTTTTTTATTGTTTTAAGGACTAAAACTGTCAAAACATACAAAGAATGTGAGTAAAAGTGAATGACTAAGCAAATCTACCTCTTCTAATAAACAAAACCTATTTTTTTACAATGTCCCTATTCTACCTTGCCACTTTGTCACGTGTCGTCATATGGAAAATTCCTATATTTCCAATTAAATTAAATTATCTATTAATCTAATCCCGATTTTTTATGAAATTATTGAATGTTTCAGATTCAAATTCCATGTTTTTTTGGAAACAATATCAAATTCATGTTCAAAATCTTTGGTTACAAATCCTATTTTTTTTAATCCTTCTAAAGATTTCAAAGAATCCTAAAAATCAGCATTTTGCATTCAAATTTTAATAATAAATATTCTGACTCCATTTAATACGTCTTCAACTTTCATTCCAATTGTCGAATTTGATTGTGCTTTCTTCTTCAACAATACGTTTTCTGCAGAGGATACATCATAAGAAATCGGATTAGTTAATCTTCATAAACCAATAACTCTAACTTTTTTCTGAAAATACTTTAATACCAATCTACTTTCCGTTCTTATTTGTTTGTTGAGATGCATCCTACTTGACTAATCGATTTCTGCTTCAATTTCTTGATAAATAAACTCAATATCAGATCCTACAATCTCATCTCTATATAAAATTTTTACCTCCCGTGGTTTCCACGGGTTATAACCTAGTTGAGGTAAAAAAAACGAAAAAGACGAATGAGTCAACCACGTAGTCGGAAATTGACAAATATTGGGACAAAAAGGCAAAACAATTATTATTATTATTATTATTTTAGTGACTAAAACTATCAAAACAGGCAAAGAAATATGACAAAAGTCTAAACATAAAAACTTTACTATTTCTAGCTAAGGCTATTGGAAATTAATCTTCTTAGAGGGCGTGTTCGGCACAGAACATTTAGGAGCGTTTGAGAGCTTCTAGCTTCTAGCGTTTGACAAAACGTTCCGTTTTGAACAGAAAGTCTCGTTCGGCACTACAAGCTTCTAGCGTTTAATGTAAACAAAACGCTCCACATCCAAATGCTACTTCATGTAGCGTTTAACAAAACGCTACAAGCTACAAGCTACCCGCTACCGCTATGAGCTAATTTTGCCAAACACGCCCTTATACTAATAAATAAAGATCCATTAATTAGACATTTGCTATTTTTGTGTTTTTTTTTCCTTTTATTCAAATCCACAT